TGCGTCCCGCCACGCGCGGGGCTGCGGCCGGGCCGGGAGCCCCTGTAGAGGCCGGGTGCTTTGTGCACACGCACACGCGCGCAGCGTGACGAGGGCTGCTCCACACAGCAAAACTCTTGTATACACAGAGATATATACGGAGAGATAAGGCCAGTTTGGCGCACGGGACGCCTGTGCTGGGGCTGTGCTATGTGCATTAAGGGAATGTGTGTGTATAGATAGAGGGGGTCACTGTGCGACTCCTGCTGTACTGGAGCCCCTTCGCACATTTGCTGTCTGTGGCTTTGCTTGCTCATGAGCTCGGCCAGGCTTTATGCGGGGACATGGGAGAGATGATACCCCGTGTCCCCTTCCCTGCGGGCACCATGTCCCACAGGCGTGTGGCTGCCTCCTGCCCCTGCTCTGCACCAGAGTGGCCCTTGCACCCTCTGCCCCTCCGACACTGCCCAGCCTCTGCTCTCTCCACAGCAAGGAGAACTCAACTCTTTCCTCTGGACCATCCGCCGCAACCCCCCTGCCTATCTCTTCGGCACCATCCACGTGCCCTACACGCGGGTGTGGGACTTCATTCCTGACAACTCCAAGGCCGCCTTCCACGCCAGCTCCAGTGTCTACTTTGAACTGGACCTCACTGACCCCTACACCATCTCAGGCCTGGCCAGCTGCCAGATGTTGCCGCATGGTGAGAACCTGCAGGACGTGCTGCCCCGGGAGCTGTACCGCCGCCTTAAGCGCCACCTGGACTACATCAAGCTCATGCTGCCCCACTGGATGACCCCGGACCAGCGGGGCAAAGGGCTCTATGCTGACTACCTCTTCAATGCCATTGCTGGCAACTGGGAGCGCAAGAGGCCAGTCTGGGTGATGCTCATGGTGAATTCCTTGACAGAGACGGACATCCGCTCCCGAGGGGTGCCCGTGCTCGATCTCTACCTCGCGCAGGAGGCTGAGAGGATGAAGAAGACAACGGGTGCGGTAGAGAGGGTGGAAGAGCAGTGTCACCCACTGAATGGGCTCAACTTCTCCCAGGTAAGGAAGTTCTGGGCCTCCTGGTCTATCCCAGGAGGTGGGAGCAGCTCTGGTCACATTTTGGTTGTTTAACTGGGGTACCTTGAAGCATATGGAAGGGGATGGCCTTCTCCCCAACTTCCGTGGCTTTTGCCACTGAAGCTGGTCAGGCTGCCTGTTCTGCACCATGGTGATGATTGTGCAAAAAAAAAAAGCACAATATGTGCAAAGATGCTTACACATTTATCAAGTGAGTGATCTGTTTGTGAGACAAATGTGTGTGGCGAAGGGCAGGGAGTCAGTGGTGTGACAGTGCGTCCCCGGTGGCTTGTCAGTGGTGAGGAAAACTTCCAACCTCCTGTCCTCTCCATAAAAAGCTGCATAAAAAGGGTTTTATTTTTGTTTGTTTTTAAATTAAACAGCTGTGTGGTACTTGTCAGGAAGAGGAGAAAGCATGAACACTGAGAAAAATAAGAAATCTAACATTGTCCAAGTAGAATTAAATACATGCAAACGGATGGTTTTCTTTTTAGCAGTTACTGCAAGTCAAAATAAATCAGCTCACATTGCTGTCATGTACTTGGAGAAATGAAGTGCGTAATCTCATCAGAGTTTTCCGTTTAGAACAGGTAAAGTTCAGAAAAAGAAAAGGATGTAGATTAAGAAACTGTAGTTACTGGTGTAACTGGACTCCAGAATGTCTTTCAGTGGATTTAGCTTTAAGCAACTAAGCCAGGAGATCTATTTCATTTCAGTGGATTAATCAGGAACACAGTCGCAGCTATTGACTTTGCTTTGTGAAACTGTTTATATGAAATCAGATTTACCAGAAATTCAGGAAATTAATGTGTGAGGAAGAAAACAAATAATGCAGGGCACATTTAAGATGGTGTCAGTTACTGCTATGATATTTCATTTTTAACCTGCCTTTCATTTATGGTTTTTGATCCAGCTATTTCCAGTTTTATCTTTCTTTCCTAGTTTGACTAATATTTCTTGGTGATGTGGGAATAAGGATTATAGGATTGATCTTTGGTGTGATTAAATTGTTTTTAGAATACCTTCACTCCCTTCTCCCCTGAATGGGAACTGCTTTAAGAGTTTAACTTTCACTAACGTTGGTTCGCTTGATGTTTTCACCTGTAAGCCTGACTCTGGACACAGACTTCACTGCTTGCTTATACATCTGGAGGGATTCTTTTGTTTACTAAAAATAATAAAAATAAAAGAAAGGCCTAGACACTTGCATTAGTATGCACATAAAACAAGGAATTGGTTTAAACTGCTTTTCTTCAAAAGATTTAACCATCCTCTCTGTTGAAGCCCTTCTTTAAGCTGAAATAAAAATAATTAACCTTTTCAGACACCCTGTAGTTTTTCAACAGCATTGCTGTATTAGATCAAAATCAGCAGTTAGATTCAAGCACATGAAAACATTTGGTTAAAATTCTACCACTTGGAAGCCTTTTTATCTTATTACACTTTTTTTTTCTTTTTTTTTTTGCAGGGAAGGAGGGGGAGGAAAAGCGGGAAAGAGGCTAGAGTACAAAACACATTATTCTTACCATGATATTGTTTTCCTCTTCACTAATTTTAAATAGCATTAAAAAAAAAAGCTCCTTCATTTTGCTACAATGGTAAATTAAAACAAAACAAAACCAAACAAAGACAGCAGAAGTGTTGCTACTGCAGGTGGATAAATGGCAAAAGTTTGAGTTTTTAGGCAAAAAGTTTGAGTTGATTAAAAAATACATCACACTTTAATTAATTATTACAGAGAATTGAGATTACTACTAAAATAGCATTCAGGAGGATTTTTTTTTAGGCTGAAGCAGTTTCTGGGAGCAAGACTACCAAAACAGCATGCAACAAAATTAAATAAAACAAACCAGATATTTATTTTCTTGCTTCCTCTAGATTTCACGCATCCTGACACCTGGCTAGTTGTTTAACAATAGTAATTTGTAATGTTATCACACCGTCTGGCAGTCCTACTGCTTGGTGTATTACTGTGCTAATTTAGTGGAGTGGATTACTATTGCTAGGTTTTGCCTCCTAATTCCAGGTCTTAGAGCCTCCCTTAAGCAACACATAATTAAAACACACTAAAGTGGAAATCAGAAATTGAGCAGCTTTTCTCTTGTAGGGTGTTTGCACAGTTTGTTGAGAACATCTGTGATAAATTACAATTCCAAATCTGCTAAGGGCATCAGCAGTTTTTACCTGCTTTCAGTATTTTTACAGGAATACTGCATTTAATTTCAACATTTAGCACAATTTAATTCACATTTGAAAACCGTGTCTTGCTGAATCATGTCAAAACTTTTGTTCTCCTATCCCTGAAGTCCCGTGTTTTGCCCATAACAAATTAAAAAAAAATAAAATGGCTTTTCCTCTTCTCCTCTTCCTCTTCTCCTCAAAGGCAGCTTTGTGCTACTGCAAATATTTAATCTGACTACTTGCACCAAATCTGTTAATCTGATACCATGAGGAGGAAGAAATCTAGGAGTGGTCCCGGTATGGTACTTGGTTTTGATCTGTTCTGAAAGAAAGCGGATACACTTGCATTTTTGACCAAGAACGTTCTTTGAAACGTTCACTGCGTTGCTTTGAAATGTTGATTGTCTTAGCCGGATGGAAAGATTAAGGTGGCTCCTGTAATTGGCTGCTTCCCGGAGAGTTTGCTCTTGCAGGTAGAGCAGAGCGCATTGTTTTCTATTGTGAGCCCAGAAACTTTGTAGTTTGACACTCTGCTCCCCCTGGAATTTCTGCACAGTATGTTGTGCTACTTTCCCAAACCTGCATCACTTGTATTGCCCTTCTTTCCCAGGGACTGGCTTCTATAAAGACTCTTAGAGCATCCTTATTCCAGCAATTCCAGTGCTCGTGACACAAAACCCAAGATCTGACTCCGGGTATTAGGTAGTTGCTGGTGAAAGCTTCTAAATTGCTGCAATAGGCTGGATGAGAAGCTCTGCAGTGGGGGAGGACATAGGTCAGATCCAAATTTCACAGCTCCTTTTCTTCAGGTGGTTTCAGGGTTTCCTTTGAAGACAAAACCAGAAAAGCCAAAGACACACCAAGGAGAAGAAGCAGGCACAACTTTCGCACCTGGAGAGCTAGGTATTTATTTACAGACTGACCTGAAAGTTGCGAACAGAGCAGGCCCTGGACTGAGCTCACAGAGGGGCTGCGGGAGTTCAGGCTGCTGCTGGTGGGGATGCAGATGGAGTCAGGGCAGTGCTGGGCCCGGGCGATATAGCCTGGCAGACCTGCACGGGGTCAGGCTTCCCCATCCTGCTCGGTAGCCTCACACAGGCCTGAGGTTGACAGAAACTTTCCCCAGACTGGCAAGCTCTGTTGTTTCAGCAAGGAGGACTTTTCAGATAGCTCCTCCAGCCATTGGATCTGGCCCTGGCTGTGTCTACAGTCATCATTCCTTGCCTTTGGAGAGGGCTGGCACTGGGATCCCCTCTTGTCACTGTGGCGGGAAGTGCCTGTGGGTAACATCTTGTCGCCACTCAGAGGTCAGTAAGGCCAAGATCCTCCTCCTTCACCCAGAGCAGCCCTCTCTAGGGAGGCATGTGGCAGACATCCCTGTACTCCTGTCCCTCCTGCATCTCTTGTTTCACTGCTCGGCCTGACTCTCTGCAAGACTATCACAAATGGAGACTATGTTAATATTCCTTCCTGAAAATCAGGAAGGAAACTTCTCTCCCAGATCATAGCTCATGTCAGGGAGAATCTGCATTCAGCCAGTGCCAGATGTCTTTAATCCCTAATTCTGCACAGGGTTTTTTTTGGTAAGGAGACAACACTATCCTGATATGTCTACCATAGACATATAGTCTAGGATAGTGTTGTTTAGACCAAAATGGAGCAACAAAATACCCTTTCTGTTCCTCTTCTGGCCTGGGTTTTGTGTGTTGTGAATCTGAATATTCTCCGGCCTGTATCACTTCAAACTGTAGGGGGAGATGTTAAATATCAGACCAGCGTTGATTGGATCAGAGACTGCCTCAAAGAAAGAAACCTTAGACCGTGCCAGATTAAACTTCACACTTCACCATTCTTTCCCTTTCATTTCTTTGCCGCCTCATTCTCTGCACAAATAAACCTTGTCTCCCTACTTTCTACCAATGAGACAGCATTCAAGGGGCAGAAATGACTTTGTTAACAAAATCAGTCTTCATTTCCCAGGTCCTGCTGTTCCATCAAACCCTGGGACATGGTAGCTTTGATTACTCTAGTGATAGGATTAGAGGAGGAACAAGTGTTGTTTAATAAAAGGCCAATGGGTGGTCCATCAAGTTTGGTCACTGACAGGTTTGCAGCCTTGAAGCTGGGCCTTCAGTGGCAAAGCAGCATGACGCACTAATGTATAGGAAGGCCCATGGCTTATGGACTTGCTATTCCATCTCCTCTATCCCCTTAAAAAACCTTTACATTACTATAATCACAAAGCTCAGAGCTGGTAGAATTGGTGTCACTGACTTAAAGAAAAAAACGCCTGTTTATGTTAATGAAAGATCCAGACTCAAGGCTTTCCAAACCAGATTAAAGGGCTCAGTTTCAGAGCTAGTTGACTTTTGACAGTCTGTGTAGTTTATTTGAGGGAGTATTCTTGAATGGAGTTTTCTTTCTCTCTTTGTGGATAGGTATTTTTTGCCTAATAGAAATCTTGACAGTTTTTGCTTTCGAAATAAACCTCAGGCTTCATCAAAAATAGTTCAATATATTCTGTTTTGATTGCTGAGTATTATTTAAAGAAGTGTTAAAAGGTTTGATTTTATATGCATGTATGTAATTTTCAGCTTACTAGATTTAATTAAACTATTCCCCCACACACACATATACCATGGGGTAGAAAAAATCCCCCAGTGAAATTAATCTTGGGGTAGAAATTCATGCAGTAGAAGTAGAAATCATTCCATTAACTCTCTTTGAATACTAATGGAACTGCTTTACATCTTTACCAGGGAGAACTATTGAGAGTAAAACTATGCAGGTACTAAAATTAC